CAGGCAGGTGGGTCAGGCAGCAATATGGAGTCTGTCTTGTTAACAAGGGTCCTTCATTATGAATACATAAAAGTTTTCTCACATTGTTTGTATCCATATGGACTCCCCACACCCGATTTCTTTCCTGGGTTTGAACAACACTGGGTGTGCTGGAGGCTTTCACATTTTTCTTACCTAGAAATGTTTTCTCCCCAGGGTGAGTTTGCTCACTAAGATCAGAGTAGGCTTTCCCATGTTGCTCATATTGACACTGTTTCTCTCTAGTTGTTCTCATTTCATGTTTTTGAAAGGGCTGGAAATCACTGCAGAGTTTTTCCATGTTCACTACATTTATACAGAATCTCTTCAAATTTCAAATACTTGTCTGCATCATTTCTTAGATTTCTTGAACAATTTTTGTATTGTTCTTCCATTTGCTGGTTACCACAGGTTCTTCCCATAGCAGTCATATGCATACATGTTTCCCACGTCACATCTCTGTAGAGCTTCTTTTGGGGTGGATTCAGCAAAGCCCATTCTTCCTTGGTAAAGTTCACAGCTACATCCTCAAAGGTCATAGTCTCCATTGCTTGGCTCCTGGGTTGCCCAGGATCCTTCGAATGCAGCTTGCAGCCAGCAGAAATTACAGAAAAAGGTTGTTTAGTTAGCTGGGGACTCTTAGCAACCCACTCTTGGTATATACTTTGGTGCCATGATACAGGAAGATGGAAGTCTGGTTTTGAGACTTGTTTATGTGTCTTCTCATTTCAACGGGTGGGGGGAGTGCTGCCCAGAAGGCTCCTCCTCGGCACTGGGAGCCACTATTTACTTAACTTTGTGTGGAAGTTTTAAAAAGAAAGGAAGAACTCTGATCTGTAAGTGGGTTAGCTCTGCCTCAGTGCCTTCTGAGTCTTCTGTATGCTGGATTAGTCCAACTTTCTAAACAGCAGTAATAAGTATAGCAAAATTATGCAGTTACTTTACTGAAAGGGAAATTACATTTGTACCAAAGAAAAGAAAAATGTGAAAGCCTCCAGCACACCCAGTGTTTTTCAAACCCAGGAAAGAAATCACAGTGTGGGGAGTCCATATGGATACAAACAATGTGAGAAAACTTTTATGTATTCATAATGAAGGACTCTTGTTAACAAGACAGACTCCATATTGCTGCCTGACCCACCTGCCTGCCCTTTAGATGAACTCAGAAGGAAGAAGCTTAGAAACCTCCTCCCCTTAGAGAGTCTCTTAGAAACAA